GTTGTCCTTAATGTTTTGGGGGGTGTTGGGGGGGGGGGGTTGGGTTTTTTTTCGCGGGGGACAGCCCCCCTCCCGGGTTTTCCCCCCTGCGGTTTTTTTGCCCCCCCCCTTTCCCCTTTAATCTTTTAAAACCCCCCCCCCCCCCCCCCCGCTCCCTACTCACGTGGAAGACCAGCACACATGCCCCAAACGCCGACACCGCGACGAAAGCGATGTTGGTCGCGACATTGGGTAGCTTTCGCTCTATCCACCGCCTGCCCTGCGGGCCGAACAGCGACCGGTCCACCGCCATGACGAACCCTTGCGTATCCACCAACGCCATGTTGCCTCAGCTTCGCTGTCACTGCTGTGCTCGACGCGGTCTTGCTGGTGAGAGATGCCCACGGCCAAGTCCCTCTTTGCTGTCGGCTTGCGGAAAAAAGCGGGGAGCGGGCGACCGCGGAGGGAGAGTCAGTTGATGGGGTTCGCGGGGGGAGGGGGGGCCGTTTCGGGTCGATTTTGTCGTTTTCGATTAATTGCGCCGCCGAAAACACATGTTGCGCACCTTTGCATCTCCACATGCGTCTGGTCGTGCAGCCCCCTTGAGCACAAGCCGCACCGGAATATTCCTCCTGAACGACAACTATGTATGTCCGATAGATGTACCGCTAATCCCGTGGATTACGAGATCTACGATGCCGTCGAGTAGCGTCCTTCCGGCCGAGGAGGTAGCACAAACCCTTGCGTTTGCTCGACTTTGTCCATTGGTGGAAGGGGAGCAGGACGATGTCGACGACTGTCGCCAACGTGTCGAGTATGAGGTGTTACGAGACGCCGAAGATGACGACGACGACGAACCAGACGAGGTGATCTGCCGTAGCAGTTGTCGGTGTGCGGCAGATTCACGTTGATCCAACGTTACCAAGCCGCGAAGCCACCGGCGGTGTTGACATTGCACTTTGGAACTGGCGACGACGCTTGCACCTGGTACATGTTTGTACAACAAGGCAGACGGCATGCGCTCGAACCATACCATTTCCCGCTCGATATTTTTCTGTTTGTTTCGTTGTCTGCGCATGTGCAGGAGATCCTTCAGCTATCAATCCCGGAGGAGTATCGGGACACTGTTGGAGGCACGGAGACCGCCCTCTACGCCTTCACCGGAGTACTAAGGGACGACGCCACTCAGGAGGTACTGCGGGGTTGAGAGACAATACGATTGTAGAGGAGCACCATGAGAAAGAAAAAAACGCACAACTAGAAGGACTTTTGGGGGAGAAATGCAGCGCGCCGCAAACATATGTAGTGACTTCATCGACACAGATTCCTTCACCAAAGGTTCGATTGGTTGTTCGGGTGGACAAGTCATGACGGAAAGAAACAAACTACGCAGCGTGAAGTAGGTACTCACTTCTGCAAGACCAGTGGTACTGCCTACGTCGCTGAACAATGAATAGTGCGCGCCAACGAACCCCACCACTTGCTTTCGCAGGAAGTCTTTCATGTGGCAGCGCTAGATACTGTGGATTCGTGCTTGCGGGGCTTCAGCGGCACCATTCTTGCATACGGCCAGACGAACAGCGGCAAGACATGGACCGTCACGGGCGGCGAGAGCTTCGAGGATCGAGGCTTGGCGCCTCGAGCAATCGGATACCTCTTCCGCGAGATCAGGAACGCCGAGACCAGTGGGCTGTCTACGCGCTACGCGGTAGGTGGAGTTGGAACGTGGGTTGGGTGCGGTTAGAGTCGGCTTCGTCAAGTTGACAAACGTCAACTACTGGAGACACCGCCTGGAACCCAGTGGGAGGTATCTTTGAGCTATGAGGTTGGTTAGATGTCCTCAAGTCCGACTTACAAAAATATACCATTCACATGTACCACCAGAGTCACTACCACTCTTCCCTCCTCGATCAACCGAAACACACACGTATCCGCCATGCACTGAATAAAACCCAAATAAATCAAACACTTTCCCAAATGCGAATGCCGTTGTCTCGGCGCCTGCTTCAGAGCGTACAAACTCTTGTTCAACCCCTTTTTACGAGACAATCTACCACACCTCTCTGGCAGACGCATGAAAACATCCTCATCCATAGATGGCCCCAAGTCAAAACACCCCAGGACAAACAGGCCAAATAACTTCTACAAGTATCGTTTGTCTATTCCGCTCGTTCCAGATGGTGTAGGTGCTGAATGCACATTAAAGGCGTGAACAGAGTGTCGGTGTGACTTTGGGCGTGAGAAGCATTGGTAAAAAATGGTGAGGGCGTGTCGAGCTGTGTCTGGTACATCCGACCGCTCTCCATACGTCCGTAATGTTTTTGTCGACCATGCACTAAAACCTGGATAATCGCTGTATAGAACAGACTAGTGATGTGCTATGTGCTATATCAAACTGTCAACAGTACCACGGGCATGACAGTACAAGTAGGGCAATGGTTCGTTATGGACGGTACAGTGGCGGCTACGGTTTAAGAGAGGGTCGTGACAAGCCTGTATTTCTCTCTTAAATCCGGTTTTCTCCCTTAACCGTACTGTGAAATGTGTGTATTTCTCATGGTCGTGACAAGCCAGTTTGACTCTCTAAAATCGGTACTTTCTCTTTAAAAGTCTCTCTTAAACCGTAGCCGCCACTGTACCTGACTTTACGTGGTTCGGAGCACACGAGAGCTGTGTACGAAAAATTGGTTACTCCGGGCAGTTGATCGCTTTCAGGTCTTGCTTCTGTCGACCTTGATCATATGTTGCTCGCTGACCTTCTTTTTAAAGTGTTAGTCACTCATACAATACATGCCAGTACGCCGTAAGGGATCGTATCTTAATAATTCTCACAACAGTTGGGAAAAGAGAGCAAGACAGAGACATGCAGAGAGATAGGGACAAAGTTCAAATCATGCCGGATCTTAACTGGAAGGCATCCAACAGGACCCCGATGTTGCCAGTCCACTCGGTAACTACTGTACATACCTAGGTATTTTCATTCTTTGACAAGCCCTTTTTTCGTGTGCAACATGCATTTTGCCAGGTACGAGCATCCTACCTCGAAGTGTACGAGGATCGCATTTACGACCTCCTGGACGTTTCTAATCGAGATGACAAGCCCATGGAGGAGTGGGCGACGGTTACGTCGATGACCGATGGCGAGGGAAACCAGGTGTTCAAGGGGCTGACGACGTTCGACGTCGACAACGAGGGTGAGAAGACGACTATTCAACAACTAAGCATCGCGTGCGTACGTAATGCGCAGTGAAGCTTCTGTCGCCCGGGGATAAGGTCATGCTACGGGCTTGGTGCATGGAAGAAACGGAAGAATAGAGTGTTGCTGGCTAGGTGTGTCGAGTGCCTCCCATCCTGTGTTTTCATGCTATACCACGGAATTTCACGTAGGAGGGGAATGGGTTTCACACTTAGTTTGGCCGTTGTGAAAAACAGGAGTCGATGAAAACACGAATGAAACCCGGACATACCACATGCATGCTCTAGGAGGTGCTCACATTTGGAGTCAAGCCCCCAAACCCAGGATTCGCCCCTAACGCAGTAGGTACTGTTGGAGAACCGATCATACCAACCGGTGGGGGCTGCGGACTGGACGCAGGACGCACCGCCTGCCAGTGACAGTTGGCAGTACGCTAGGAAAAATTGTCTATCCCCACCCGACCCATCCACACCTGTTCCCACCTTTTTGCGCAGAGGACACCCTCAACTTGTTCTTCATGGGCAACTCTCACCGCATCATGGGTGAGACACCCGCAAACCCGGGGTCTTCTCGCAGTCACACTGTGTTCACCCTTTCCATATCATCGGAGACGGAGGAGGAAATATCCACGGCCCACGGAGATCGGGATGACGATGGCGATGAGATCGTCCGTGATGGTGGAGATGGCGAGAAAAGCGTAACCCGAACAGTAGTGAGCGAGTGCGAGCTCACCCTGGTCGATCTGGCCGGCTGCGAGAGGATGTACAAAAACGACCGACACGGGTAAGCGGGAAGGGCGAGGGCGCGGGGGTGGGGATCGGGGAGGGAGGGATGAGAGTACAAAATGTAGACCCACCTAAGCTAAAAGGGGAGAGCAAGTACCGTACGCGTGTTGTGCCTGGGCTCGTGTACGGGCATGCACGATGGGGAACACCGCCGTCGCTGCCGGTCGATTTACTCTTGGGTACTAGTCAGACTCTTTGTTCCTCCTTGCCTAGGTACTGTTCATAATAGGTACGTCGGGTCTGTCCCCTCTGTATATTGGCGACCCCACCGATGCGGCTTTGTCTGTCGGCCCGCCGCTACTCCCGCCCGCCCCCAAGCGCGTTTCGTACCCACACACCCGCCCCGCCGGCGTAACAAACGAAACTCAGATACTCCGCGGGCCTCGACGGCGCGACCGACGTCGAGCTAAGCGACCCCTCCGCCGTGCCGGAGCAAGAGGCGAGAAGGGCCGCACGGGAGCGTGAAGGCAAGAAGATCAACTCCGACTTGCAGAAGCTTGAGAAGGTACATGTACACGTGTGCCGCGTGGGCTTCGCCTGATTGCCTTGCACTTCGTACCATGCTCCGCCTTCCTTCACCCCACGCGGTGAAACGCCTTGAGTTATGCCCTGCTCGTTTCGAGGCTCGGCGTCGTGGAAATGCCTTTTTTTCCGGCCCATGGGCGGGATAAAACGAGACCTTCTCCCGTCCTCGAAACACTACCATATGTTTGCGCCAAGTGTAGGGTGCGTTTACCGTTAGGCACAACGATTGATATTAGAACCCTTAATAGGTTGCGGAGCGGTTATAGGCTTGACGTGCGAAATCATGTAGACATTCTGCCGTACAACAGCCCAACTCTCTTCTCGTGTCTTCTGCACTCGTTAAAGTTGACTGCTGCGAACCCTTCTCGTGATATAACGCTTCTCACGAATCGCGCAAAAAGGTGATGCGAGCGCTCCAGACAAACCCGGGGGCACACGTCCCTTACCGGGAGAGCACCCTGACGTCGGTCCTGCGAAAGCCGTTGGGAGGAGCAGAGTGTAGGACCGTGTTCGTGGTGACCCTTAGCTTGGATCTGGAAGACCTGGCTGAGACCGTGGCTACGTGTAGGTGAAGTTCATTCCTCGCATGTGTAGGTGGAGGAAGCGTGGGTTTCACTACCAATCACTAAGAGTGCTCGTCAATACGGGAGTATATCTGTGCTGCTACCCAACCATCGTGCCGGTTGTCTTTCGTCCTCTGTCTGTTTTTCGATCCTTCTCGCGTTCCGGGAAAAATGTCCACCCACACCCATCCACTTGCGCGCGCATTGCTTATTCCCGTCGAGACCGACGACTCTTCATTGGTCAGTCGGTTTGCGTGGCCGATGCTATTGGATGAAACACGCGTACGCATTGGTTGTTTGCGGTGTTCGTCCAGACATTAGACTGGCGCCTTAACAATTTCCAGCCGTATAGCGCGGTCGATGCTAAGAACAAGAAAACACACGTACACAGGTTCGGGCAGAGCTGCCGCAAGGCGATATGCGGCAGCATCCCTGATCTTCCTGAGGTCGGCGACGCACGACTCGAGCCCTCCGAAGAGCTCCGCATCCTCAGGCGAGAGGCGGCCGACATGAAGGCCTCGCTCGGGGTAAGTGTTGATTGATTTAGACGTTACGTAGACGGGAGAACGTGAACAAAGAAAGGAAGGAGAAAACACGGTGATTGTCAGCTTTTGGAAATTTCATGGGTACAGCCGCAGCATGTTAATGGGTTTTCGTTGTGGCCAATGAGCACATCTCGACCTTGAAGTCGTGCTCGACCTAAAATATAACGTCCCAGCAATGGCACAAACGGCATACGAATCTATTGAGGGTGCTAACATTTAGTATCGATTGCACAGAAGACGCAAGCGTACTCCGACGTTTAGTTACCGATTTTCATGTAGATTTCACCTTCACAGGACAGAAAATCTACAGATACAAAGACACAGTAGAGCGATCGTTTTCAGCGAGCGATAAACAGGGCATTTGAGTCACAAATTCAGGGCCAAGCTGCATGTGCGTCGTTTGATACGGAGATTGCACGGGAGAGCGCTCATCGCATTGTCCCTGGCATTGTACGAAACCTGCTCCATTCTGTGCTGGATGTGTTCCTTGCTACTTTGACTCACATGTTGGCACGTACGTGCGTGCGGGTATATCGCCGTCAACGCACCAAATTCGATGTTGGGTGTGCGCTGCGTTTTGGCCCCGGCGAATCGTGTCCAGGCTAAAGAAGATCTCTTGCGAGAGCTAGCCGAAGAAATCAGGGAGAAGGACGGCGACATCGCGGAGGCAATGGAGAAGCTCGAGGTCAGGAAAAAGAACAAAACAACAAAGTAAAACCACGAATAATTGTGAACAAACTGGAACCAAGTTGTGTGTATGCAGATGAATGAGCGCACACGAAAACATTAATACACACAACAGGAAACTTGGTCGGCGTACCGTGTTGGTGATTGTGTCTTCGCATCAGTATCTTGCACTTTTTCAGGATGTGCTGGTTATCGGGTTTCTACCTGTCTTACGCACGCGCAGGCGCAACCCGCGCCCGGCCTTCCTCGCCCATCCTGTTCATCGTTTAACGCGTTACCCTCCTCTACCACCCCACTCTTTGCTTGCTGGTCGATATCCTCTCGCCTCGCGCGCGCAACACGCACAACAGGCGGTAGAAGAAGCGCACGCTTTCCACACGACGAGATCGCCCACCGAGGAGGACAAGGGCGCATGTGCCGTGCTCGCGAAGGCCCTCGCGGACGGCTCGAACGATGCGGAAGAGGCTCTTGAGGTCCGCGATTTGTTTGTTGTCCCATACAGGAAGACAGAAACGGGACTCTCGGCATCTTGGATCCACAACCCTTTCACGATTGCTCTTCGTATGGGCTGTACGTGGTATGTCTGTGTCGAGCCTTTGACAACCTACTTCAACATTTGTTTAAAGTCTTCGGTACGATCTCTCGCGGAGGGTTCGAACGAAACTGAGAGGCTCCCAAGGTAAGTAGCAACTACCGAACACTTCGTTGAGGTTCGGTCATGTCTCACGGGTACTCAGACCATTGCAATTCTGGCACGCACTTATGTTTTCAGCCACAACATCGGCAATGGCAACAGTATAAACGGCACGCAAGCACATGCATTAACGATAGAATTCCAGGACATTTTGCTGTTGCAACGCCACCTGCTCCAGCCTCCGTCTGTTGACTTCCTGCCCCCCCTGCTGCTGTGTCCGACGAACTGAATGATTTCTAACGGCACATAACCACCATCCCACCGCAAAACGCAGGAGCTGGACCGCGTGTCAGCCCTGCAGTGCTGCCGCAACCTCCAAAAAATCATGATGGTGAGCGAACGGTGCCTCCCGCTTGTACGGCCCCTCAACTACAACGCATCCCCCATATTCTTTCTTTATTTTCCTTCTTTCCCCCGTTCCTCCATTCATTTTACCTTCTCGTACTTTCCTGATGGCGAATGTGCCACCAAGATGGTGCATTATTGTGTAGCGCACACCGCAGCGCACCCGCGGTGGGTGGAACGTTTCAGCAGCGAACAGCGTAGCGCGCCCGAAATGCACGGCGGTGCGTAACGTTTTTTATTTCCGATTCGACGTGTTGCCTGTCCGGCCTCTCACCCCAACTTTATGTTGGTGATCTTGCATCAGCATCAACGGCAGCAACAGGAACAGGAACAGGAGCACCAGCAGGAGCAGCAGGAGCAGCTGCAGCAACTGCTACAAAAACAGGAACAGCACCAGCAGGAGCTGGAGCAGGAGCAGCAGAGACAGCTGCAGAAGGTGGAGCAGCAACGGGAGCAGGAGCAGGAGCAACATCAAGAGCGACAGAGGCAACTGCAGCAGCGGCTACAAAAACAACAGCATCTTCAACAAGAGCAGAAACAGGAGCAAGAGAAGCAGCTGCAGCAACTGGAGCAGCAGCGGAAGCAGGAACAGGAACAGAATCAGGAGCAGCAGAGGCAGCTGCAGCAGCTACGACAAGAGCAACAGCAACAGCAACAGCAACAGCAACAGCAACAGGAGCAGGAGCAGCAAGAGAGGGAGAGGCAGAAGAATCAAGCTCGCCAGACGAAGGACGACGGAGAACGTGTTTCAGACGAAACGAAGGAACTCCTCTCTACCACGCTGCAAGAGAACGCCGCGCTTGCGGTAAGATTTTTATTCGGTTGACTACTTGTACTTCATGAGGCGGCCGAACAGACTGGGTTCCATTTGGTGTCACCGTCATGGTCTGTTACACCGTTCTGCCGAAAAGTGTCTTGTCCGAGTCGCTCATGCTTGGTTCCTTGGCTCACCCAGCTTTTTGCGCCGGCTTCTGAAACTTCATCGAAAACGGCAGGCGGAGGTAGGGCAGCTGCAGGAGCAGGTGCAAGCCTTCGAAGAGGAAGAGAAACTCGCGAAGAAACTGGGCGGTCGGCTAGCTGACCGAGAGGTCACCGTCACCCGGGCTATCGACGCGGCCCCCTCCGACGACCCCCGAAGCGGCAGCGAGCAAAGCGGCGGGGGGTCGAGAAGCGAGACTTGTTCATGCGATGACGGCGACCTCGAGAGCCTCCCCATAGCCGACGACAACGATGATCGAGCGGGGGGACCGACGATATCGGCGTCGGAGACGGAGGCGGAGGCGGAGGCGGCGGCGGCGGCAGCGGCGGCGGGTTTGGCCGAGGTACTCCAGCAAGAGGGGGGCGGGGACGGTGGCGATGAAAGCGGTTCTACGTACGGCTCCGTGGAGGGCATGGAGGCGACGGCAGTCCTCGAGAATGATGGTAAGGGCGGGAGTGGTGGTCAGAAAAATAATTTTGACGCGCGAGGGGAGGAAGAGGAGGAGGAGGAGGGGCAAAACGAGGGAATAGGGGCGGGGTATGGGTCAAACCACGGCGACAGCGACAGGAACGGCGAGGACGAGGCAAGCGAGGAGGAAGTGGAGGAGGAGGAAGGAGAGGAGGAAGTGGAAGAGGAGGGGGAGGGAGAGGAAGAGGAAGAGGAGGAAGAGGAGGAGCCGGAAGAAGAAGAGGAGGAAGTGGAGGAGGAGGAGGAGGAGGAGGAGGAAGAGGAGGAGGAGGAGGAGGAGGAAGAGGAGGAGGAGGAGGAAGAGGAGGAGGAGGAGGAGGAAGTGGAAGAGGGCTACCACGACGACCTGGGGTCAACTACGGAAAGCCATATTCAGAAGGTCGCTCGCGGTCCAAGCATACCACAAGGCAAGACTTCCGCGTTCGGGACTACCCCAGCTCAGCGCAAAGGAGGCTCTCGAGTTGGCGCCAACAGCGGCAGCAGCTGTGCGAGCAGCAGAAGAAGTAGTAGCGTGGGAAGCAACAGCGGCAGGTACCGCGCAGACAGCGATCGTAGCAACAAAGAAGGTACGCAGAATGAAGCTTGGGAGGAGCAGGAGCAAGAGCAGGAGGAGGAGGAGGAGAGGGAGGAAGAGGGGGAGGAGGAGGAGGAGGAGGAGGAGGAGGAGGAGGAGGAGGAGGAGAAAGTGGACGGACAAAGCGGGTGGGATGAATCGAGCGGACTGATGAGGGACAAGGATGACGCTACCGCAAACGGACCAAAAGGCGCAGTTAAGCCTTCCCGCGCACACCTCGAGCGTGGCCTGGGCACCCGCGCTTTCCGCGCGAGAGGCGAGGCGGCGGGAAGCACGAACATCCGAGATGGAGACCCTCCTATCCCGCAGCACCGTCGAAGCCTCACACGGAACGTTGGCACGCGAGACGTTAGAGCTCGAGAACTCGGCTCTCGAGATCTCGGCACCGGCGGCCGGGGGCTGGGCGACGCGGCGGGTAGCGAGGATGACGGCAGCGATGTCGTCGGAGGTCGCCCCCCGCCTCTTTCGGTGATAGCGGACGATGAGGCCGAAGGAGCGGCGATCGGTCCGTTTCTTCCGTCGTACGGAAACGGCTTCGGGGCCGGCGGCAGGGGCAGCGGCAGCAACGTGTTTTCTTCCGGCAGTGCCGGGACCGCCCCCTACGACAGCGAGCGGCATCGGGCGCTGCTCACCAAGGGCGGGTTCTTCGTGATGCACGGAAGGTTCGGCAACCCACAGATGCGGTTCGTGTGGATGTCGCACGACCTGGGCACCATCCTCTGGAGGTGAGCGAACGAACAACTACTATTCGTGCAACGTTGTAGCAACATTTTTCAGGTGGTTCGTGCATAGCGCTCGCCTTCCGACACAAGGGGAATGGCCCTGCTAGAGGGAAATTCCCATAGCACTCGGCGCTCTCTTTCCTCCGATGTTCATGGTGGCTGTTCATGTATCGGTATCTGTACGGCTACATGTAGGGGGAGGTATTCGACTGCACTCGCACGATTCATGGCCTCTTGCCAGATGTTCTGTCTTGGGACCTTCGCAACACCACCTCGCGCTTCTCGCGTTTGAAGACAGTAGTGCGCGAGACACTCTGCTCACGGCTCCGAGTTCGACTTAGAGCGAGAATCAAACTTCCTGTGTGCCCTTCCGGCTGTATGACCCCGGCTGATGCGCCCAATACAGACGCCCCGACAAAATAGGATAACACAGTAATTAACCGAGAACGTGGCGCCCCGATTCCGCCCCCTCCACTGATTGGCGGTAACTCACCGACAACGAACGCTCCCAAGGCTACATCCCCCCCCCCGCCCTCTACCGGTATGCGCTTGCGACGACATTGGCAGATGCTGTGGCCACACGGCGGTGAAAGGATCAGCCAAGACAACTCTATTTGACTTCGTGCACCTCGGCTTCCACAAAGGCGCGCTAGCGACCGCGAACAAGCCAGCGGCCGCCGCCGCGGGGAACGCCATGAATCAGATCGTTTTGACCGGCGGAGCGAGGAGGAACAAGCTTGTGCTTGAGCTGGACGGCGGGAACGCGGACACCGACGCCGAAGTTGTCCAGACGTGGTTCCAGGTTAGTTTTGCGAGGGATACTGGGGGGTAGCAGAAATGGGCATCAGCTACTACCCTCCACATGCAGACCCTTTGGTAGGATGTTGGTTACGAAGGTGGAGAGGGGGTACGGTGTGCTTTCAAGGTGTGCGACCGGTGGTAGCTATTTTTGGCAAGAATTTGGGCCTCCGCGCCGCGTTGTTGAAATTTCGAGGGCGGTACTCGTGTACGGTGACGACCGCTGCAAGCAGTTCCACGTTCACCCGTTCCGTAGTCGACACGCGGAGTTCCCACGCACTCTACGAGAGAGGCACGCGCACCGCAGGCGCCATCCGTTCCAAATCCGTCCTGGCGAAAACCTCAGGGGTACCAGCCCCGGTGGATTGAGCGCTTAGCTGGTCTAATGCTCCCGCACACGCCTGGAATCACGCATGCCGATGGTTTCATGCGCTTGGTTGCTAATAACAAAGAGAATTGCCTCTCTTTTCCGTTGGCTTCTCCAGGCTTTCAACTTCGCGGTAAACTTCGCCAACACCGAGGTGATCTCGAGGATGCTGCAGTCGTCGGGGCGGCGTCGTTCGACGCTGACGCAGGCGGCAGCGGCCCGGCGCTCTTCGCTGAACAGCGCGCTTCCGGTGCCTCACGCTCAGGCCAGCTCAACGGCGGCGGCAACAACTGTCGTCGGTCGCGAGGCGACGACCTACTCCGCAGCCGCGGACGACGCCCTTGTTCCGTCGACACCGGCCGAAGCTCGAGGAGGCGGCGCTGGCGTAGCTCCCCTGAGGACCAAATCTCGACCACTTGCGGCCCTACGGCCGGCGCCGTCCTCGCTGCCGCCACCACCGTCAGCAGGGCGCCGCGCACCAGTCGACGACGCCAGCCCCAGCAGCACCAGCAGCAGTAGCCGCGGCAGCGTTGGTAGCGGTTCCGGTGGCGGCGGGAGCCGGAAGCGCACAGACTTGGCAGGCAGCACGACAACCTCGCAAGGAGCATCATTTGTTCGGCCTCCGCCGATCGATACGAGCAACCCGGCCGGGTTTGTCGGCCCCGCCAGCCCGTCGCCGAGGGGCCAGCCCGCACGAACCTTATCGCCGCCCCCGCGCATGGGGGCGTACGACGCCGATGGCGACGCCGATTTCGACAGGGAAGAACACCTAGGTAGCGGCCACCGCGACTACACCAGAGACGGCAAGGACGTAGAAACGAGAGAGAGAAAGGAGTTCCTGAAATCTTTGGCCACGGAGGCGGCGACCGTCATCAACAACAGGACCCTCACCAAGACCAACTTTGACCTGAGACCTCGTTATGATGAAGGAGAAACGTCGTCACCTTCATCGTCCAACGCCCGCGCCAGCACCGCCACCGGCGGCAGCACCGGCTCTAGCAGAAGCCGCCGGGAGAGCGAAAGCAGAAACAAGGCGCTCTCGTTGCCTTTCCGCCAGCTTATCGCCCACCACGCGCCGTCTGTCGCCAGCCACCATGCCCTAGAAACGCCAACGCGGCGACCCGCGAGTCCCAGGGCGCGCGTAGGGGCCGTGAGGCGCGGGAGTGGTTGTGACGGCCTTGGCTTTGGTGGTGGCGTTGGAGTGGGTGTTGGGGGCGCACGCTGGGCGATCGGCAAGCCTCTCAGCGGTACCGGGAGACGCGGGAGCGCAGGCACAGGCGATAGCGACACGGGCAAGGTGTTAGCCGACGGCGTCCGATGGGCTAGCAGCAAGCCCGCTATCAACACCCGATCAATCACCACGGCACCGGCCCAACCGTACCGTGAACGTGCCGGCAGCGCAGACGGCCGCGTCCCGATCGCCATTGCTTCCGATGGGCAAGCCGAAGAGAGTGAGAGCGGTTCGTCAACGTCCCCGCCTCCCCGAAGCAGAGCGGAGGCTTTCACCACGGCCAGATCTGCACGCTCGCTGCAAGAGCGAGGAGGGGCGACGTCGCCCACGCGGGGGTTCGCCCGTGCAACCGCCCGGCGCTTGTCGGCGCTCGGGGCGAAGGCAGTCGGGGGCATCGGCTTGGCGGGAACGGGTAGCAGCAGCGGACCCGCTGGCGTGATTTCCCGATCTCCTCCTCCTCCTCTTCCTCCTCCTTCAACCACTGCCACTGCCCCCACAGGAGGAGACTCTCCGGGCGCGAGAGGAGACGGCCCGCCCCCACCCCCCTCTCATGAGCAACGTCGACGGATGTCAGCTGCGCCTCTCACCGAGCAGCAGCTGCTACAGGTGCAATCATCGAGCCAGCCACAGGCATCACTGCCCCGCGCTGGAGGGGCGACCTCGCCACCGCCAACCTCTGGCGCATCCCGCAGGAGGTCGTCTGCGCAGCAGAGGCTCCTTCAGGACTTCGTGGCAATGAACGGAGCCCGCTACCCCGGTGTCGGGCTCGGTGATCCTGCGGCCGGTGGTGCCAGCAACCGCTTGGACTCCGCGGGGTTTGCCGCGCCAGCCATGACGGCGATCCGATCATCTCAATCGCAAGCTGGCGTGGCGTGACGCTAGTGTAGCCTAATTTCACCACCCTCTGTACGTGAGGAGGAAGAAAATAACATCGATTTACCGTTTTTCTAAAACTGCGGGGCGCGTACGCTTGCGGGCGCATCTATTTCGAGTACACAGCAGTGCCGGGTCTTGTTCGAGCAGCTCCGCACGGTACGTAGCTTTCTCGATCGAGATTTCGACTGCTGAGGTGGTCGTTTCCTTCGTTTCCTTGATCGGTCTGTATTTTCAAGGTTCGAAAATCTGAGAGGCAGATGGCGTGATCCTCGAGGGGCGTGTAGTGTTGCGAGCTCGTTCGCCACCTCACGCATGAGTACGTGACGAGCTGGGAAGGAAATACAATGTGCATACGCACACTTCGTGATATATAGAGGAGATGACACCAGTACTGATTTCTGGCGCCGGAGGGCACATACAGAGATACGTCTCGAGATGTCTGCCTGGATGGGCCCGGGAGGCTTTGTATTCTGTGCAGAAGAATCCGAACGGCAACAAAAGAGGAGAAATAAGGTGTTGGGTTTTTCATAGGACGTCCACCCGCTTCGACACCACACGTCAACGTGGTAGAACGATGTTTTCTACGTCGGGCGACCTGCAACATTTCATCCAATCAGTACAAGAGCAACGACGTGATAAACAACACAGCTCGTAGATCGTCCTCGTTGATACTGTTACTGTTCTTCTTGTCTTCACGTTAGCAATCTAATTTAAGATCCAAGGAAAGTCCTGGCACACGCGAAAAAGTTCTTGTAGTTTGAAGCCCAGCTGAACATGCAAAGGAACAAATGACGCCTGCGAAAGCCGGAAAATAAACGGGTACACGAACACACACAATTAAACCTAAGTGCCAACGATTCGCGGCCGAAAGCGAGCAACACGTCGCCTCGCTTCTCTTGAAGCGTTCTTCGGCTACTGTCTCCCGAGTTGCAAACATGGCTATGCGTGCGTGCGCCAAAACGCCGTAGCAAGCAAGGGCGCGGCCGTATCTCGCCGGTCGCCTCGCTTCAACACGAGCACCTTGCGCGCGACGTAGACAGAGGGCGGAGCCTACGGAGCTACGAAGGCACGAAAGGCCTGCCCATCGCGCACGAGCACAACTCGAACGAATACCTCCTTCCCGTCGTGCACGCAAAGACGTTCTCCGAGCGCCCACGTACGCGCCAGAGGGACAACACTTTCCTACTTCCTCGTTCCCTATCGAGATCGCTCCAATAAAGCTTTCATACTATAATAATCGCGTATCTCAAGTTCCTCCAACCACGAACGGGGGTCGCTCGAGTCGATTTCGCCTATCGTCCCCTTTTCCACCCCTCAGGCGCCTCCATACAGGAGTGCGGGCATTTCGACAGCCTAGAGGAACCCGGTTATTATGTCGCGGTGCTCAGTTGAATCTCCCCTTGCCCGCAACATCGCCCACGTACCCAACGAGCACAGCAAATAGGCACACACAACTAGACAACAAACGAGGATACACAACATCAAATCGGTTGCTGCCATGCTCAACCTCCTCCCCCAACCAACTAACTCCCTCACGACACGAGAAGCCCGAACTGCACGTTTACGGGCAAGCTCCTTCCACAAAAAGCGCACCACCCTCAGCACGACGGGGCGGGCAAACGCAAGACGAGACAGGTCGGTTTATCCAGTGTGTCCGGGCCTCAACCGTTTACACTATTCATCCTTTAGGAAGCCTCGTCCTGCGAAAATAGTCAAAAATGTTTGCCCCAGACAGGTGTCTTGAAGGAAAGAGCGGTGGGTCGAGCGCAGATGCATGCACTTGCGTGTGCATGAGCGACAGCACCGTGTTCCGACTCTGCGCTCATACGGCTCTGCAGGTCCAGCTGCCTGTGCATCGTTCCTGCAGCTCGCGCTACGCTGTCCTTTGGCCCACAACACAGATTTGTTTCAGGCGCTCCACATGAACACGCGCACTAGCGTCAAAACTGGCAAAACACGTCACCCAAAACGGCGTCCACTACTGCTATTACTACCGCTTTGGAAGCACAAATATCAAAAGCAACCCTCGCCAAGCACACTGCCGAGTGCACAATCCACGCGGAGTTGTGTTCGCCCCGAGCCGCCACGGCGTTGATCATTTCTTTTTAATCCTCTTTTTCAGACAAATTCCTTACAAACACACGGCACGAAAACGCCAACAGTCCCCCACGGCAGCGGTGGCACACCAGTCACACGTATGTCGTTCTTATACTTCACAAACGACCGACACCACCGCTCCAGGCAGGCCTGGTGCTCCAGTCTGTCTTGCCCGGCACTCACACCTACATGAACACAACATTCGATCTCTTCTACCTATCCTTCATCTGTTCTGTCACGTCTGACTCGCCGTCGCGGCTCCGGCCTTCTCCCCCTCTCGAGAGTCCCGCGGAACCACCGCCGTGCCCCTCCCAACCATTCACCGCCACCCCATCGTCTGTCAACCCTAACCCGCCAGACACCGTCCCCGCACCACCCCCGCCACGAACACCAACACGGCGCGGAGCGCTGAAGCACTTCCTCGCGTACACGTAGAACACGAACACCGTCGAGAGGAAGACGTACGCGACGGCCCCGGCGACCAGCGCCCAGACGGCTACGCCCTCCCTCCGCGAGAAGCTCACCAGAGCCTTCACCGCGCGCGCGGCCGCCAAGTAGGTGAAGGCCGTCGCGGCGAGGCTGGCCGCGCGGCGGGAAGGGTCGAGGGCAGCGCCGGCCTCTGGCACATCGTCCTGGTCCAGGGCCTCCAGAATTTCCTGTTTCGACGACCAACAACCATACCAAAATAAACAAAAACAAGGTGAAGAATTTCCAGTCGATCAACAACAAAAAATGAAACGGGTGAGAATTTATTGTTTGTCGACCCATGAAAAAACAACGAAGGGTGAAAACTTGGCCGACCAACAATAAAAAATGACAAAAAGGGTAAACACACACACGGCGCCCGCGCGAGAGTATACCCCGGCATGCGTACGCCTGCGCAAGCCTCGAGCAGCAGCAGCAGCCGCCGCAGCAGCCGCGACAGTGAAATCAAGTGTTGGAGGATATGTGGCGTGATTGTCGCGTGAATAGACTGCCGATACACGACCCAACAGGTGGTCGTGCCTATGTGTTTGGGCACTGCTGTCCATCTGAATCCTTGATCGGTGCATACAGGGTGGATGGACGAAGACGCTAGAACAAAGGCGCAAGGCAGTTAAAAAGGCGCAAGCAGCAACGGGGTTTAACGCCGAATGGTGTCCCCGCACTGTAGTTTGAATATCATGATATATTCTACAACCATTTGGAGATACGACGACTTCCCCAGGTAGTCTGACGTGAACAGACCCAACAAGTACATCTTGCCGGCCGTGTATTTGGACTCGCCTGCCTCAATCTCTGTGATAGCCCCTCGCGAGACTTGATCTCGGCCGCTTCGATTGGTCTGTGATACTTCACCACCACCTGATCGCGAGCAGAGCAGGGCAACAAAATTAACACGAAAATGACACACCGACAGGCGCTCGCACAAGCTTTTCCCGAGAGGATGGAGGGGAGCCCTCACGAGGGGGAGCAGGGGGAACGACAACAAGAAATAGAAGCATAGATGGGAGGACGAAAGGCATACGGTGGTACAGACAGACGCAACGGCCATATTTTTTACGCACACGAACACTGTATACGCCTGGAAGCGCTACAAAACAGCTTGAAACGTGCCCCGCACAAACAGCGTTTCGTTCAAGAAAAATATTGGGACGCGCGGTGCCCTATTTTGCTCGCAAAAGGTAGGACGGTTGGCGAGGGGCGGGGGCGGGGGCGGCGATGGCCACATTGACGGCAGGGGGTTGGGACTCACACCTTGAGAATTAGACAAAGGCTATCTACAAGTATGCTTCCATTTTTCGGCGATGGGGGAGATCATCACACGAAATTCGCTTGACTTGAGGTCCTACCTTGCCGCACTGATTTACGTTCCACTTCAAAGGGAACAGCTCGTACGCTCCGTGAATCGTGACGGGGATCACCGGCCACTGCAGCTGTTCCTGCATGTGGAACGCTCCCTGAAACAAAACGGACAGACAGGCAGGCAGGCAGGCAGGCAGGCAGGCAGGCAGGCCGAGAGCAGAGGAGACAGATCGACAGCACATTGGGGTTAAGGCGAGGTGCACCCTGCTGCGTTGCCCTTGCGTGGCATTCAAAGTTGTCTGCGTGACGACTCATCAATAGCATATGCCCCCTCCTACAGCTTACTTCCAAGCGGTTCGTTCAGCGCAGGAGCTCAGAACTACGACAAGGTGGTCCTCCTCCCGAGCTCGCTCGTTTTCAATAGCGTTGTCCCGCGATTACGAAGAACGAGGGCGCCCCGCTGAACGAATATCCGTGGTCGGTGGAAAGAATTAACTGTCTCTCCACGTCAGCTGCTGTTCTGACGCCGCCACAGGCAACAATGCTACTGCTGTGTAATCTTCCACGTGTCGCCGAAAAAGACGAAAATGGCTATTTTGCTCTCCCGCTCTCGCCTTCTTGAAGGGTCCCAGCTGGCCCGTCTTTGACCGTGTGCCTTCGGGCGCCATCGCCACGAACATCTGGAGCTCTCTCGCTCGCTCGGCCGCCTCCGCTAGTGCCTGGAAGAGCGTGTGGTAGGAAATGTTGCAAAGGTGTAAGCTCGAGCAGTGTGGCAACTATGCAAAGATGATACCCAGGTAACGGTTGGACCTCTCCTGGTGTTCGCACATGCTACCGATGACGGGAAGACACTAGAGGGACAACGGCGTCAGTCAACGTTTTAACATGCGCAACGAGGACGTATCCGGCATGCAAGACGCGGCCAAAACACACGTTCACGCATGTGCAAAATCTGCATAAGGGCGAAATGTCGTCCCGTGATAGGGGGCCCACGGTTGGGCAGAAAGCACGTGTACTTTCCCCCACGGAGACTAAGGACTTCATGAGCTTGGATACAAGTGGGTCAGCGAGCTTGATGCCAACGGATATTACATCATTTTCGTCTAACCTTTGCTTGGGCGCGCCCCTTGGGGACCCTGGTGGCAAAAAAGTAAGTCGGCGTTTCGTCCGACTACTCTAGTCGTTGGTCGGCTTCTCAGAGCAATCGTTACCAAGCGCGACCAACACGAGCACGGGCGTGGACACGCAAACCACCGGACACACACACACACGCACCTGCACTGCGGAGGCACGATGGCCTCGGTTGATCGGGATGGCGCCACGCGAAGCCATGATCCACCCTAGCACGGGGACGGCAAGCAGCTCCTCCTACCACACGCGAGAGGGAGAAAGAGAGACAGCGAGAGAGAGAGACAGAGAGAGAGAGAGAGGGGGAGGGAGAGCGAGAGGGAGAGAGGAGAGATTCCGTCAACGGCCGAATCGAAAAACAACACAGCAGTAGAGTGAACTGTCGGTCCCGGGAGGGAGCCAGGACAAGTACCAGGGGACGAAAGAGGAAGCAGTGTGCTCGTCAGCACAGCGCTCATGTCTTCGACGTACAAAACAACTCCGCCAGCAAGGCAGCGGGAAAGAGACAGTGGCGTTCGCTGCCCAACAACACATGCTCTCGCAGCTCCTGTTCTGCAGCCTTTCTTCTAAAATCGCTGCCCCCCCCCCACCGTCGCCACCTCTCCCAGCAGCAAGCAACAGCGTGTAAGTGTGTAGGCATCCACCCCGCGATTCCTCTTTCACCTTGACCACCGCGCACAGAGCCCGAGGCAACGTCCCCAAGATGACGACGGCGTCGAGGGTGCTGACGTGGGTGAACAGGAGCATCGCCGGGCGCGACAGCGACTCGCCCATGAACTCGGCCCGGACCTGAATCCCCATCAGCAGCAGGAGCCACGCGCAATCCAGGCGTATGAGGATGGACGAGAGGCCGCCGCTGTTGCCCGCCCCCCCGTTGCTGCCGCCGTTGAGTGCGAGAAAGATCTGCTGCTCGACCATGGTGAGCATGATCAGGGGTATCGACACGACGAATCCTGAACGAACAGGCGGGGAAATTGTTGTAAAACGGAACCGGTGGGACAGGGGCATACGCAGAAAGGCCAACCAGCAGGGTGCGCCCATTCGTCGGCATAGTTACGTGATGTTTCGGCTGCCATACAGGGTTGAGACGCGATATATCCGACGGCGAGGCGCTTGTCGACGATGTACAGCGGCCAAAAATCAGCCCCTTCTCCCTGAAATGCACCTCTATTCCATACACCTCCGTGCGGCAGTAGGTGGTTCTACCTACTTTAGAGCAGAGCGATCAATGTTCGATCGCGCGAATAACGGAAGGGCTAAGCGTGAGTCTACCGTAAAACACTCCTTAAAACAGTCCTTGAGCAGTGTGTTTGATCGCCGGAAAACTGCTGTGCTGATACAGTAGGGCAACACCGGGCGGGACGCCCAAAGTACCAGGCCCAAGAACCCGCACGTCAACGTGCGACAAGCCGAGACAGAGACGCCTCAGGGTCACGCCCAAAACAACGGGATTGGGCAACGCGATTGAAAACGCTTCGAAGCCCAGACCGACACAAAATACCCGGCCCAGAGAGGTGTTATTACACAGACAGCACTTCAGACAACAGTAAGCTGTAGTCGACACACATTCATTTTGGGAAAGTGTGGGACAAGGGGTGATGCTGCTGCTGTAGTCGAATGTAGTGTGTGGGCGTGTGGTTCAGTTTTGGGCACGCAAGCATGCTGCAGGGATTGTAGGTGTACCTCTTCTGGCTTGTTGCGTACCCTTTTCTTGCTATTTGTGTGCGTGTTCTTTAGATATTCTGATGGCTCTAGCATTTTTGTGACCACGGACCGAGTCTTTGCTAGACTTTGGGATAAGCAACTGACACGAGTTTTATGTGAAGACAACAACAACAACAACAACAACAACAACAAAGAAGAAGTGCGCCACAACAAAGCATTCGATGTGCGCGTGCGAGGCAGCATTTCAACACGACACCCATCAATTCAGCGTCGAATAGCACCCAAAACGCGATGCAGTACGGCATAGCAGGGCGACTCGTAAGACAACAAAGCGCCTGTTCAAGGTGCCCATCTACGTGGACATCTCCCCACAGCTCTCGCGTTCCCCTCCCGCACTTTCCCGGAAAACAGGAGGAATAGCAGTGGCGAACACGCAAGAGTCGGCGGGGGCGGGGGCGGCCATCCAAGAAGCAGCAAGCGTGCACGGGTGGAGAAACAACACAGGAGCCCTGGCGCGCGCAACCAGAAGGAGCAGCGTAGCGACGCCACGGGTTCGCAAACCTCGATCTCAACACATCACAGGCACAATACGCTTTCCTGGTGTATTTTTCCGTCCTCTCTCAAAATTCACTTACCCATGAATAAGAGGAACAGCATGACGGCAGGCACCCGCCAGATGAGGTCTAACGCCTCGAGCAGCGGTCCAAATTTAGGCTGAACAGGCCTCACCACCAGTGTCGACGCCAGGGCATCCAGCTCCCGTTGGCGGGCCTTTGGGCAGCGCAGCACCGGCAGTCGAAGCGGCGACAGGTCAGTTTGGAAGCAGACGGCTCTCGCATTTTGGAGACAAAATTTGGTCGAAGAAGAATAAGAAAAGGGGTGGAGTCGGTTGTCAGGAAATCTACAATTCGACCGTGATCTGTTATTTTTTTTGTCCCATTTACGTTCTCTGGGCTCCAGTCTACACCTTTCTGTGCATCATGTTTGCCACACCAGAACGGGTCGCACAGGGGGACTCTCCCGTCTTCCTCCGCAGCAGAAGCACTTCAGTTGTAACAACGCGACAGGAAAGGGTACACCTATTTGCTGCGTTTACTCACGACTCCGCGCCTTACACATCGAGTTGGGGGGGTCATTAACTCCGGCGAGATACGAACCCACAACCTTACTTCGATATGTCTCATCATCCGTGGTGCGACCCTTTTCCTCTGATCTCTTTCTGCTGGGAGGATGGGGTGAGGCGGGTGGGCGCTCCTCATGTACCCTGACAAGCGCTTTAGGAGGTTCGCGCGGCAGGGCTCTCCACACATTCTAACTGGAGCGATAGGTAGATTCCAGAGCAGCTCCAGAACACTTCGGCAGCGAGCGCGGAATCAGGTCCAACCCTCCCGACTTTCTTCTGGCGCAAGCGCCAACTGGATCAGGCGGTTCGTACTTGTAGAGGTGAAGCGTATCCCATTTTCCGTGCCTTCACACTACACGTGTTTGTGCCGAACCGCGAATAGTGGTTGCTGAGGGGGTTATCAGGAGTGATATGTAACTGTATGTGAAGGGTGTGAAGCCGTAGTCAAGACTCGGTACAAGTACAGGAAACAAAGACGGGACGAGAAACGCTTGTGCTTGTATTGCCGGTAGGTAAATTGTAAATTGTAGGTTAAAATGGCACGGTACTCGCGACTCGCTGCAGAAGGGTTTCGCAGTACTCGGCTCTAACCACTGCATGTGATCCAATCAACCGGGTGGAGTTTCGGGGGAGGCTCACGCGGAATTGAACGTTAACATGACAGACAAATGAGAAGCGTCGAACTGCTGCTGTCTATGCATAGGAGAAGCAGAAGCAGGGCGCGCTTCGGCTGCGAATCAAGCGTCCCGAGAAAAAGGCCAAATTTGTCCCTCAAGACGTCGATACATTCGCAACTCATCCATGTTGAGCAAGTAGTTCACAAGGGCTACCGCAGTGGTACTGCAGGCATTTCGTCCTGCAGGCATTTCGTCCTGCAGGCATTTCGTCCTGCTGTTACCCTGTGCAGATTGTAGACACAACAGACGTTTCTTCGTGACAGGGCGGATGACGGTGACAGGAGTCACGAAAGGCGAACTGTCACAAATTTTACAACCAAGACTTGGACGGTACATACATGTATATAGATGCTGGTGAAGCAACCATTACCTTGTGGGTGAGGTTCGATACAAATTCAAACTCAGCACAGCAACTACTACGACTGTTGTTGTGCTTGCATTTACGAAGGGCTACAGCAGTAGTACTCTGTGGGATGTAGGATGCGGTCGTCAGGTGACGGCTTTGCACTCTCCGAAAAAAAAAAAAAACTTGCAACGTATGCATATACTGCTGTAGATGGTGTCCAACAGATCCTGATGTATTTTACGCGATATACAACACAGCAAACGTTACAGGAATGGAAAACACCGCAACCACAATATTGCCATCTCCATCCATCTCTCCAACGCAAAACGCCAAGTGCAGCTGTGACCTGTTACCTGCCCGTTGCAAGCATGCCGGCACCAGGGTGCCCTGTGGGAACATCAAAGCACGGGCAGTTGTTCCGCGTCGGTTGGGAGGGGACGTGCTGTGTTGCTCACACAGCACCGCTTGCTGCGACGCACGACTGAATCGACCGCGGCACCACAAGCTAAAAAAAACTGCTGTGTCACAGGTCACCTCGATCCTGGATGTGTCCTCATTCGAGGCAGCAGCGGCAGCAAGCTGCTGCACCAGATCCTGGGCATACGCGTCGAGCTTTTTGAAAACACGTATTCGCCGGGCGTTCTCCTGTTGCCTGGCCTCGTGGGTGGACCCGTCCTTGCCGACGTGGCATTCGGCGACCGCCGCTCTGATGTCTTCCAGCTTGGTGTCGATCATTGTCCCTGGTCTCCTCTGTACCACGGAGGGACAAGAGAACTGCAGCAGCTGCTGCAGTGCAGAGGCTTTGCAACACACCGCACCATCTTCCTTCAGAATAGATAAACCGAGAGTACAATCCCCCCAGCCGGCGGCACAGAGGATGCCATCCGCGGAGCCCCTCTGTTGCACTTGGCACTCCTCTCACCTGTCTCTCTGTCTGCTGTAGTCCTCTCGGTACGTCTCTAACACCACACATAGCTGGTGTATCTAACACGGACGGCGATGAAGAAACCGTGCTGCATCCTCACGCTGCTGGCCTTGTTCTGCCAGAGCCCGCAGGCTTTTGTCCCCATCAGCTCTAGCCAGCCCCGCGCAAGACTCGCATCGGCGGGATCCCACCGCCTCTCGCGAGAAGCCCGGGCATCACCTCTGTCATCATGTAACATCGAGGGCCGCGGCGGGAGAACAGCCGTACAACCGACGAGGCGGCGAAATCGAGGAAGGGGGGGCACGGGTAAGAGCAGGACAGCCACCGGTGGCGTCCGCGAGTTGAGGGCCGGGTTCGACCTGCCCGGGTTGGGGGCCTTGCTGGAGCAGAGCACGCGGCACCACATCCCTTCAGCCTTCACCGGCGGAACTGTGGGCGTCCTCGGCACGCTGTCGGCGATTCAGGTGGGGTGGTACAGGCGTCTTCCGCACGGCCGCGTGTTGCGGTGAAGCGTGTTGGGGTGGAAGTGTAGCTCTCGGGCAAATGATTTCCTGTATGTTTCATGTGTCAGTTCGACCGCGTTTTTGCGATTGGGACGCGTGTGTCACCCGCATGCACCCTCCACTCCGTCGGTCCAGTCCGCTCGTTACTCCGTGCAAGCACCACCTCAGGAGGGTGTATGGCAGAAGCATCTGTGTCCGACTATATCATTTTTACCATTTTCACCCTTTTCATTTGAAGGTGTACCGTTGCAGCTAATTGATGATGTTTTTGTTGTTGTTGTTTCTCTCACATTAGCTCTGTAGTCCACAAGAAATGGGGAGCCCGTGGTCGCAAAACCCTGCACATACGACGCCGCGGGGAAACAAAACAAGAAAAGAGTACAACCCACTCGGAAAAAGAAAACAAAATGATAGAAAGAAAAGAACAGCTACCGCACCGACCGGTCGAGAAAAGGAGCCCTAGGAAACCTAACCCAAAAATAAAGGCAAAAATAGAAGGGGAAAAGGAGCGTTTCCCACACCCGCCTAAAAAATCAAAGGGTACCGTACCAGCATCAGGCACTACGCACCAGGGCATGGGAGTAATGGAGGCAACAGAACAAAGAGGCGGCAGATGGGCAGGCAGCCATCTATATAAAAGCAAAAGCAACGGCAAAAGGGAGATCAAGGTGCCCAACAAGGCAGAGTAGGCAGGGAGGACATGAAAAAAAAAGAATGTGTCTCCCCACCGTCCCACGATGGGAACACGGCGGCGGTCCAGCAATCATGTATGCGGAGGTACACATGATCGTCAGGCCAGGCACCCCAGAATCACTCGAGAATCTACCGTTAGTTGTACGTCAGATATCGGTAGCAGCAACTTCTATGTTGCAGTGGACATATCGTCAGTTTGGTCGTCAACTTGCATTTGTGCGCTGGTACAACACCAATCGGTCAATTTGGGTTGCAAGGCGGGGGCTGTGGCAGTCAAACTGCACGTGATGTAGATGCATACGGAGTACGGAAAAATAGTTTCGCAGTGTGTCACCATTCCGCGAAAACCTCACGGGACAAAGTGGGATGGTTACCTTGGCTTTTCGTTCCACCCCCCGCGTGACTTGTCCCTACATATCTTGCTCAAACCCTGTACCGTATCAGTGTCTGAGTCCAGCAAAGCTCAAAGGGGAAATAACTGAGACCACGAAGTAGCCAGGTTGTCAGTCCATGTCGACAACAAGAATGACGCGGGCCGTCCGTTCACGTGAACACAACGAAAGCTTTCCAAGTTGCGATTGCTGCAAATCCCAAAGACGCGTTCGCATGCACCCGGTACTACTTGTACTGCAATCACAATTTCATCAACTACCAACACTTTTTCCCTCCGCCTCACGATACGCCCGCCGGCCCCCTGCACCAAAAAAAAAAAACAGCTCAAGATCAACGAAGTGAAGGAACTCACGGCTTGCCCCTACTGCCGGTCCACGGGGCAGCTCCCGTGCGCGACTTGCTTCGGCGTGGGTTCGATATCCGTGCTGGACACCGTGGCGTCCTCGAACGAGGTGACCACGACGACGCTCACGTGCCCGTCCTGCCGCGGGAAAGGTTTCATAACGTGCGTCAACTGCAAGGGCGACGGCCGCGGCGTGCCGCTCTTCCTCAACAAGAAGGTGTCGAGGGACCCCGAGAGCGAGATCGAGGACGTGGGTTACGCATAACCTGCTGTGTATCCCTCGAACGAGAAAACATGTTTGTCATGGTTGAATTGAGGGCGTAGTGGCGCGAGGTCCGGCTTGCGCTGATCGGAAACCCGTGAGCTACCCACGTGCGTGTCCGAATCTGGGTCGTGCTACACACATCGGAAGAGGAGGGGTGTTTCGGAGCTTGCGATACAGCTAAAACAGCGTTTATGGTGCTCACTTCCGAAGTTGCTTCAAGCTCATGTTTTTTTCCGTTATGGTGGTGCATGAGTTGAGAACTGCCGAGTGGCCTCAAGCCGACATTGGATAGGGAGACGAAGTAAGACTTTGGGAACGGGCGCGCGAAGGGGGCACCCAAGAGTGGTACTGTAGAGAACCGCTTCCTCCGTGGAAATCGGCAACAACCTGCGCTTGAAGAACCATGTACGTTGGCTCCGTCCGTTCTTTGATGGTGCCCACCCCTGCTCGTCTTAAGGAAGCCGCCCCTGCCTTCCAAAGTCGCTCTGGCCAGTGTGCCGACGTAGCAGACACGCTTCTTGAGGGACCGGCAATCGACCGACCTCGACATCTAGACTCATCGTGTCTGTCGGAGGGGAGTTAGCAAGGAGGCCGAGAAGCACCGTAAACTGCGGAGTTTCCCCCCCGGGTAGGGGACCGTTTTTTTTTTCTGAAGCCAACCCCCCCGGGGGGAAATCGACGTACCGCGGGGAGTTAGTTTTTTTTTTCCAACGCTACCCCGGGGGGTTGTGCAAAGTAATGATGGTCCACACACCACACACACACACAGTGGCGAAACTGAGATGGATAAGGTTGACGAGCAACGTTTCAACAAGCAGAGGGAGGAGTAATGTAAGAGCAACAAAGGCGAAGAGAAAAAGACAGCAAGAGGTATCATCGCCTAAGCTCATGCACAAGAATTCGCAGTTAGTCCGCAGGAAAAAATTAGTTTTATGGTTCGGTTCTACTGCTGTACCTTGAGTTGTGAGATCCAAAAATGAATACGATTATTTTTTCCCTTTGTGCGCAAGGTTTCGTCAGCATGCTATGGTATGTTTCAGCTGCCTCTAGGGATGATAAATGCAAGACAGAGACAAGAAAACGAAAACATTTCACCCATAAAACAACGGCGAGGGCCAAGTGACAAATGGTACACCTAAATCTCGCCCGGAGCGTAGATCTGCAAATAATGAATTTTCCGTCGCATATCATGCTTTTTGTGCTCCCCGATGCCACAAAATCGACTCAGAAAATAAGAGAAATACATCCCATTGGGGGGGAACTCGTGGGAAACTCGTACCCCGGGGGGGGAGTTGAAATGCGCGGGGGCTTTTTTGTTTGGTCGAAAACGATCTACTCCGGGGCTAAATGAACGAAGCCATGCTTCCAGGCCGAAAAGGTAATGGGGGGGGGGTGTACTCATAGTCGTGCATGCCGTAGTCGTTTGACCATTGACCTCGCATCCCTACAAAGCCGGGACGGAGCACGCCGGGTTCTCACCGGACCAGGCTCTCACATCACCAAGCGCGAAGCGCCGTGAGGTATTTGGCGAGTCGCATGAAGGGTGAGCTGCATCCTGCTAAGGGTGTTCGGCATCTTGTGCTTACTTCCTTGCGTACGGATGACAGCTACGTATGACTTAATTTATTTTCTGGTGCTTTCACTTCCAGAGACAGTTGTAAGCACTGTGTAACTGCCTCGAGGAAGCTTGACCATTTTAACGGGGGGGGGGGGGGAACTGTACTAGGGGGGGGAAACTCCGTAGTTTACGGTTAACACTTCGTTCGTAGTTGGTTGTGTGCATGTTGTGCTTGCGTGGGGGGCGTGTTTCTGTCCTGGGGGGGGGGGAGTGAACGTTGCCTACCGCACGGTGCCTTTATTTTTGTAAAGGGCGAGGGAGGTATGACGGGCGGGCGTTGGGTACGTGTAGACTAAAACATAAAGCGGCATGGAGCCGTGTGGGGATCGGAATTTGCGACAGGAGAAGGTGCTAGGGAACCTCAGTAGCTCTCATGACGGTGCATAGCATTTGACAACACGCAGCACGTAGACCTGATTGTTAGGTATGTACGAAGAGACTGAAATTTCCCCGATAAAAATCCCCAAATGAGAATCTGCTGTGTACACTCGAGCAGGTGGCTGCCAACACTGCAGTTCCACTGAAATGAAACCAGCTAAAGTGTGTAAGCAACCTTTGTACCTGAGCCACTGCAGAAGCCACGATGTACCATGGACATGTTACTGACTGAAGCAAGAAAAGTTCATATGGCGCCATCCGGGTATACACCAAAACGCATCCTTGTTCCTAGAGACAAATTTTACCTGCAGCCGGCATGGTTCTCTCGTCACGCTTTGCGACAGCGGGAGACGTACGTATGCCACTCCCACAGCGTTGCGACGGCTGTTGTCATGTAAAGGTGGATAGCTCTAGAGGCTTGCAAGGTCGTGGAGGCGGCAATCCCACGCGCTTTCTGGACAAGGTTATAAGGACCGTGTTTTGTCACGTTGCACCTCACACGCGCGCCCTTTGTACGCGTGCAGCGCAACTTGTTACACGAGCGATAGATGTGCCCGGACGACCGCGTACTATAATACAACAGCTTTTTAGCAAAAGATCACCCTTAGTCCGCTCCAACACTGTGTCGTTCACCAGGAGGTCTGGCGGGGGCGGATTAGCACGGCTTCGTTTTTTCTTGACCGCCCACAGGGGGGCAGAAAATATTGTCTTTGTTTTTTCCCACCGGCAAGCCAGCACAGGTCCGATCAGCGGTCCAAAGAGCAGGAAGGCCGTCCCTTTTGTAAATCGAGTCGGTCTCAAGTGCACGAGAACAGCATCGTTTCACCCGTGGATCACACCTCCCCTGTGATGAAACCAAGGCTTATTGTGAGGGAATTTGCCAGAAAAGACGGGGGAGAGTACACTTGTGGGGCGTACGAGAACGGGTGGAAGCTCCCTCACACACGTCTACGAAACCATCCTATTTTGCAGTGCCCGCGTTGGCGCTTGTAGGCAAACCCCGGTGTCGATCGGTGCGTGCCCGTTGCGAGCTGTACACGCTGGCCCAGGAGTGAACGCGCTTCCCTTCTTTGTGGTCAATGGCGATTGCCCACCTTGTGCAACTCCATGCTTTCCCCGCGAGATGTACAGGCGCGCGACAAAACGAACCAAGCTTTCAATATGTCATACATACCACCACCTCCGCCAAAACATCAGTCTCAAGAAGCGCGTCGATCAGAGAAACGGTGGCTGGAAGGGGTGGTCCCCACACACGGTCGTTTCGAAGACACAGATATGCCCCGCCAGAATGGTGGTTTGCCCGCAGACACACCACTCGTCAGCCACTCGTTGTTGTGGTTTGGACGCCCCGTTCTGTGCCCCAAGACTATGGCATCCTTTAACATCAACCTCAATTTCCCGACAGTCATCCACGCCAGAAAAACCTGCTGCATGTACAGTATTGAAGGAAAATATGTAGCAACCTTCTGAAGAGAGGGCATCGTCCCCGACAGATGTTGGGGGAGATGTGACCCGTATCAAAGCTCATCTCCACGCTCCCACACAACGATAGTCAAGAACTACCGCTTCAATCAAGTGCCACCAGGCATACAAATAACAGCAAGGAACAGTTAGCACGCGCCAAATGAAAAAAGCCATCGACCAGTTGGCTCTTCGACACCATCAACAATTTTTCCCCTCTGGACGCCATACCAAAGGGTGGGGTGAATTTCATCCCTGTGTTCATAAACAAAGTATACAATACGTGTCAACCACACACGCTCTACGACGGGACGGCTGTGAGGCTTAGGACACTCATGCGAATGTCAGACCCTACCGTCTACGACAAATAAATACAAGTACAACTGGCAGACGGTGACAGCAGACGCCGAAGTGGGATGAATCCCAGGGAGGGTGTGGTGGCGTGAGCAACTTACAACACATTTGTGACGTGTGATATTTGTGCAGTGGCCTGGACAGTTTGCACTCCGGCCCTACGTATCGGAAGCACACACCATGCCGCAAAACACAGTACAGAAAGAAACACACACACACAGCAGAATCCCTCCTTCTCTCTCTTCTCTCTCTCTATTCCTGCTGTCTTTGTATGTGTCTCTCCGTCCATCGTTCAAAATACAATGAACGCACTAGGCAAAGTAAACTTAATCTGCGGGGTGGGTAGGTAGTGTTTCATGGGGAGAAGGGTTGGCACAACCCAAAACCTTTAGTTATTGCGCTTGCTTCTCGCTGTGTACAATTCACACATACGCGGCTTTACAGAAGCGGGGCATCGAGCACCGTGGCGGTTTGTTCGGGTTTCCGAGGCATAACAGCGTATGTGGCGCAGAGGCAGGTGACGATGACCACGATACCTAGAAGACGACGCGACGTCAAGCAGAAAAAAACAACGTGGCACAGGCGGGCATGGTATCAGGGCACTGAGTTCAGAACTTGATTCGCCGATGCTACGTAGGAAGGGGTGGCGTGTCTTGGTGGGTAAGAAAAAAAATTGGGGGGAAACATAGGCTATCCACATCACATAACATGCCAAGGCGGTCCTTGTGTCTGCTGGTGCGCAATTCACGAAGCATACCCATCGAGAGGCACAAGAGAAACGCATACGGTGGGCACGAGCGCTACAGCATTCGCATCAGACGCGACTGGGTTTTGGCAAGTATTCAGAACAGAAAGAGAGACAGCAGTGGGAGTAAGAGAGAGAGAGAGAGAGAGAGAGAGAGAGAGAGAGAGAGCTGTTATGCCTTGTCGTGGGATGATGGAAACAACTAGAAACATGCCTAGGCACGAAATCGAAAAAAAAGATTTCACACACCTAGCCCGTTGCTGAGACGGCAGCCCGCGTACAGGTTGGAGTAGTGGGAAGCCGGGTTGTAATCCGGTTCCGTGAGCGTGATGTCGTAGCCGCAGCCGAGCGCGGAATTCTTGTCCTGGATCCCGAGCAACGTCGTGAATGCCGCCGCGAAGTAGGTGAAGATTCCGATGAAGACGTGGTTTGGCAGGTACTGGGCCTTCATCTGCCAAACACCAGTCGAGAGAAACGTGGGTGTACAGGACGGCCGCACGAAGCGTACGCACGGCGTTTCGATGTCGAAGGGGGCGGTCAGCGTCATAACAACGGCGGCCTTCACGTGCTTGGCGGGGCTTCAGAGACAACTCAAGACATTCTCGGGAGGGAGCGTACTGGGCAACAGATCTTACCCAACGAGCGCGATGGTTGGTGGGAGGCCAAACCACAAGAAGGAGTGCCACTTAAGATGCATGCGGTAGTCTGCTGGGTGCACACTCCGGGGGGGTAGCGTTGTCACACGAAGCCGTTGGGTGTTCTAGAATCGCTGTCTTTCATGTGCTGGAACGGCGAAATCCGTTGTACCAACAATCCCGAATCTCGACACCCCCGAACGGCCGCTTTTTTGTGTTGCTGGCTACTTGCTGCCACTCTTCATGAGAGCAAAACAACTTATCCCACAACAACTAAATAGAGCAGTCGCTTGTCCCCCTTACCCACTGCGGCGTCGATCCAGTGAAGAAGTTGAAAAATCCACCAACGTAGTTGGCGTAGAACAGTGTGACCACCACGATGCCCGCCCAACTATGCATCGTGTACAGGTTCGCGTAGAGCTCTTTATTGTGGTACTGACGAGTGGACATGACGGAGGGAGAGGGTGGGGGAAGAGGGGCTTTAGACGATACTACACAGGTGCGGCTCATGAAGTGCCACCCGGATTACGTTATCGACAAACCACGTTTCTATTTTTCCCTATTTGGAGGTATTATCTTGCGTAGGCCTGCATGTATGTGGTGACGCCCCATCTACTGTGGGCGCCAGTCTACGCCTTTGATTGACGCGCCAATCGGGGTCACACAGGAGGAAGGAAAACACGACTGTTAATAAATGGCATAAGAAACGGTAGAAAGCAAAGCAGATCAGTCGTACCTGAAAAACAGCGATCAGGCCGAGTGAAACGAGAATGACTGCCGTGAACATGCACGCGTTGTGGATCATTTTGTTGACTTCTCTTTCCAACGACAGCGTCCTGTACGCCAAGATACCTTCAATGAGAGAGGGACACGAGGGGCGAGCGAGAGAAACAAGAGAGGAAGAGATAGAGAGAGAAAGAGACACGCACAGAGCGAGAAAGAGCGAGAGCGAGAGCGAGAGCGACAGAGAGAGAGGGGGGGGGGGGGGGTGACAGACAGACAGAGATCAAACGGGGTACCATGACCCATGTCGAGAGAGAACGGCTGATTGCCAGTCCTCTCTTGAGAACAATCGAATAACAACCTCGCGAGAAGACCGGCCTATGTCTTTGGGTGAGGCTACCAAACCATGGGGCAAAACAAAGCTTGGCATTTGGTGCTATCTATGCATAAACTCAAATTATACATACCACATTTGGACATGAAGGCATGATTCCTGTCTCTCGTGGGACCTCTTATAGTGAGTGCCATGTCACATACACCCGCACTATAGCGGGCATTCGCCCTATTCAAAGCGTTATTGTTCTTGTAGGTTTGCCAAGAGAGTTCGCCCGCCCAATGCCGACCGCGAGACCTTAGAGGGCCCACACGACTAAATGTCTCGTAACGATAGTAACATGCGGCATGACATGTCGGAGGGATTACTGTCGGGGTGTTGCCGCAGATGATAAATCAGTGGGACAAGCCGAACCCCAGTACAAAAACAGCAGGCCGGCTGTCTACTCCCTCACAGCCTCCGTCGCATCCCGATCTACCTCTGTCACGAGTGGTTTGGACCTGTGTGTGCTGCACACCGAACATCCCACCGAAGAACAACGGACCGCAGCGCGAAACCTAGAGAAGGCCGCCTCGTTACCGCGGTGGTGTCCCGTTGCCTACTCCCCCGGGCAACATTTTCGCTACACGTATCCGACAACCACCAGAAAAGTGCAGTGGCAAGGGTTCTCGAACAGACCTCAACCGCGAGAACCTTCGTGCCTACGCTAGAGCTGATTAGGTCGTGTTTGGCGGGCAGGTTCTGTATCTCTCTCGTTGTGTCGCACGCGAGCAGGGGGCAAAAGGGTGGCGCTCATTCAAGTGCCACGGCGATCGGCCCGTGCAATAATACGCTTTGTTTGGGTTGTTTGTTGTTGACAGAAAGAACGAAACAGGGCTCGTCTAACCTTGAGTGTAGGCAACGACCAGTCCAGCGACCATCAGAACAGGGTGCCAGTTGAAGAGCCCTGTCCCGCTGAACGCTAGACCGCCGAGGAAGTAGTCGTCGTCCTTGGTGGCGGTCGACACAGCGTACATTGATTGTTGGAACGGAGTTATTCGACGAACGACAGATGCTGCTATGTTTGGATCCACATATGTGCATCCCGGAGCAAAGGCGTACTACAGTACCCCTTTGCAATGAGTACATGCGTCCCAACCAGAAACACAAGAGAAGTGTGTGCCATTGCTGATTCTGACTCCTCGCTCCGTGCTCTGTGACGACGTTCAATGCCCGAAAAAAAGACGGAGAATCTGGTGCCGCTGTACTGCACTGCTGCGTCGGCACTATTTTTACTGCTGTTGCACGCTCACCTGATTAGCTAGTGCCCAAACGAGAACCATGATAAGAGCCGTCCACGACATCACATGGGCAGCCCAAAGGCTGCGAACCTGTATTTTTTCCATTTGCCCGATGAACAGAGGGCCTACTTGCGTACCATCGGCAGATGTGATGTGGTGTGATACAGCGATGAAGATGAGCAGCAGGGCTTGTTGCTGCTGTGTGTTGTTGTTGGTTGCCCCGCACACCTCAGGATGTCGCACCAGCCCCCCCCCCCCCACTCCTATCCTTTGTTCATACCATCTGTTGCCCCCCCCCCCTTGAAACAACTGCCGCCGCGGGAAAACAAAAGCGTTTTGTACCACAAACAAGCCCGCGAGAGATCACGGACGAATCTGCTGTACCAGGAATCGGATCCAATCGTCTGTAACAGGTGTGAAAGGCTCTTCGTTTTGGGGGCCTTGGAGTCGATGCCGGTTCCCTTCTTTGTTCTGGACGGCGCGGTTCAATCTATGTAGAGATGCCATGTACCAGCTCTCTTGAAACACCTGCGAGCTCTCGGGCCTCTATTCCCACAACTACCGCTTGCAGTCTTCATCCTTATGTGCTTTGTAACGCTTCTGCAGGATCACCCGTATGCGACGTAGATCTCGGCGTAGCGCATCTCCTTTTGTTTCTCTCCTACTTCTTTCTTCCTGCTGTGGTCTCCCCTATCTCCTATCGCGATTGTTGTTGCTTTTCGTGCGCAGTTTTCGCGTGTAGTCGACGGCACCTCCTACATTTTCATTCGACTGATCGTACGCTCCTCTCGTATCTCCTCATCTCGTGTGGTGAGAGAGTAAGAGATGCGCGCCCAATTTGACTTGAAAGTTCCAGACCGCAGCTGTGCCCTACGTTGTGGTTTCAGGCCGGTAGCGGTAGCACAGAGATTGGCTGGAGAGACTGAAAGTATCCTCTGGGGTAATTCTGTGTTCACTTGGCTTGCTCGCATAGAGTAGGGGGCCCTCAATAGTTCCGGTGTCCCGAGATTTTGCCGGCACTATAACGGGCACCGGCACAATTCAGAGTACAGAACAACTTGATATTTCAGTGTGTGCGAGCCGCAAACACCGGCACTTACCGGGCACCGCCACTATGTAGAGGGCCCCCCAACGTATACTTGCAAAGTGTGCGATTGCGAGCTGTCTTAATCTTTTATTTTTTTACGCCCCGCTTATTCGCAGTTGCGTTGCCCCAACGCATACCCCATGGCTTGCCCTCTCAAGCTCAAAGGCTCTGGTTTCACGCCGGATGCCGGATGATTACTCTGTGGCGCACGCCTTGATCTCCAATGTGCACGGCATTCACCACTTCCTTCCCTCAATGCTTTTCCCCCAAGGCAACGCAGGGGTGTATGCATAACTGTAGTATGCATATGCGTGGATCATGGATTGCACGGATCGCCCACGCGAATCCTGCAACACACACTTTTTGTGGCCGGGATTCGATCTCACGATCCACTAGCGCTAAGGGAGTTTTAAAATGCGTCTAGGCAGAAACGCTCAGAGGGGTAGAGCACCCATCCTCGAGGCGGCACAATCATGGTGCCGTGCTTCTTCCCTTCTACTGCTGTATGTCGTGATACAGTAGTGGGGGGCCCGGAATGGTAATGGTTGAATAGTGCACGTGCCCAGCATAGTGCAGGCAAAATCTCTGGACACAGACAGCGCCCTCAATAGTGCAGGTCCTGCGCTGTTGAGGGTGGACCCGCCATAGTGCAGATTGAACACATACACACACGGATAAGACAGCGGACAGACGCAACACAGAAACGAGGGTACAGTGGGGGCCCGGTATAGTGTTGTTTTGTCATGTTTTCTGCAAATGTCATTTTTATCTTGCAAAATCGAAGGTATCTCTCTGGAAAATGGCAGAGCGGTAAATGGTGCTACGCATTTGAAGGGTTGGTTCGCGCGACAGAGTTCAGGGTGTGCAGTACAGCAGTACGAGTGCTGAGGCAGGAAGAAAATAGCGGTCCAACATGCAACTAATTTTTCTGCATAATCTCTGGGTGTGCGACAGGCGGGAACCATCATTTTCGTGAGAAAATCTGCCCACGCCCTACGCCCACGCCAGGCCTTCACTAATCTCGATCCATTTTCGTACTCTGTTAGCCCCGCAAAGCGTGAGCGCCACACCATGAAATCAAATATCTCCTCCTCAATAGTGCAGGACCTGCACTATTGAGGGGTATTCAAAACCTCAAAAGTGCCGAACCTGCACTTTTGAGGCACTCTTCGGATTAGTGCAGGTGCCCGCTATAGTCCAGGTACAGTCGCCGGACACACCCCTGCACTATACCGCCCCCCCCACTGGAACACAATGCGCCGTCCTCTAGAGGACGCGTGGTCAATAGTCTAACCGCTAAGGCATGCAAAACACAAGAGTACGCCCCCACTGTAATGAATTCGGAACCCCCGCACTCATTTGGGGAAGCCGTTCTCGTCAGCTCTCACTGTACAAGTTGGGAACCACGAGTTGTCCCAACTTCTAGAGCTACTTAGAGGTGCCCTGTACAAGCTCCTAGAGGATGAATGGCGACAATATGGGGTTCGTTAGACCCGGAGGTTGGTGCTGAAGTTCGACCCCGTGCTTGCCATGTACCACCATATCCCACAAAAAAAATTGGAGGTGGAATCAGGATGATTGTCAACAGGAAGTTTAAGTTTCGCAGGTCGGCTACATAGATGGCGCGACTGCTCCGCTACTCGGGTGGTACGACCGTCGTGGGTGGGGATCCAAATATGTGCAGGTTTCCATACTAGCCATGCTAAGTACAGTTCCACTGCCGTTGTGGCGTGCGGTGCTGATCGTTTTTGCTGCTGTAGCTCCAAACGCCCGAGCCTGACTCGTGGTTCTGAGAGTTGCGAAAAAAGGCTTGGAGCAGCAGGATTTCCAGTTGTGGCGGCATGGATTCGTCCGTGTGAATGGAAAACCAAGACATGTATGCTCTACCTATGGATAACTTCTGCTGGATTCATGCTGGCCGCGGTTTGTGTGAGGTGCATGAGCTGCGACAAAGCTCTTGACCAAATAGAATAGTGTGTTGGCGGCAAAAAATGAAAGGAACATGTACGAGAATGGTTCCCACGAGCATGTTGAGAGCCTTCGGTTTTGACTATTTTTGTTGGTGATGCCTGATCAGTGTCGAGACGTTGGTGAAACGTGCTGAACGATTGTGCCAAAGGTCAGCAAGCAACTTCCCGCAGACTAATCCACACATGTCCTGGAGTGTTTCGTAGATCCCTGTTCTTGTACATGCTCGGCAGCTGTGGTTTGGACCAGTCACAGGTGTATGCTCACTACTGCTATTTAGCATACGGTTTACAACCTATAGGGCACTGCCGTGGACAAACCACGCTCCGAATATGTTCTGCTTCAATTGGTAGATCTACCCGACGCCTAAGAAGTCCACGCTATGGAGATTCTGGCGTGGTGACTTTGCCCGTTTTTCGCCAACTTGTACCTGTTACGTCCTACACCCTCTTTCATGTGGCGTTACATGCGACGATGGGTTGTTGTCCAGTTTCCATGTGCGACCATTGCACATCTGCCGTGGAATCATACTTTATGGGATGAAGCTCGAGGGAAACAAGAGAATTGGGAGTAACTTCGACGGAAGGGGCTCGGTAGCATTGTGCGCGTTGCCAACTGGATGCAATTTCGACATGGTCTTGTTTTGATCACCCTCGCCGCAGCCGTGCTGTTGCTGCTCCTGCTGCTGATGCTACGGCTCCATTTAATATCCTTGCTGTTGCTTTGTTGGGTGCTGTGATTTAACCCGCTGTCGTCCGTCTACAGAACAAGCGGGCTCGTCCTTTGGAGCAAGCGTGCACGCTGAGGAGGAGACAACAGCGGCACAACTCACCTCACGCTATCACCCATCACCCGGCCCAGAGAGCGAAACCCCGCTGTCCCACCAATAACAGTTTTTCCAACCGCGTCCTCGCCCGCCTTTCTTCACAACCAATAACACACGAAGTTGTAAGAAAGGCCTCCGAAGACATGAAGCGCGACCGCGACGGCAGTCAGCACCAGCACCACTATGAGTATCGGCAGCAGTGGCCACAGCAGCAGTACCAACAGCATCAACATCAGCAGGAGGAAGAGATCCCCCCCCCTCCACCACCTAGGAACCGACCGCAGCAGGAGATCCCCCCTCCCCCACCGCCTAGAACCCGGCCTTCGTCAGCGTCAAAGAATGGCCATGTCGCAGAAGTCTCGAACGGGTCGTCTAACCATCCTCCAGCTTCTTTCGCTTCTGCTACAGCCGCCGTGGGGACTGCGTCAAGAATGAACGACGCCGGCGACAGGGGCGGGGCGAACGTCTTCACCGCATCAAGTTCTTCCGCGAGGGCCCCATCATCATCATCGACCGCAACCTCCTCTGCTATGAAGAGACCGAAGCTCGGCTACGAACATCCAGACAACTGGCGAGCAACGGCCGACGAAGTGCTTGTGAAAGCAGGGCTAGAAAGAGTTGGCAAGGAGGAAAGATCGAGGGCTGGAGACGAGGAAGGTTCGTCCACGCGCAGGGGCAATGATAAGGAAAAGCAGCAGCAGCCGGGCGCGACAAAAGTGGTGGCAGCGGCCCGGTCAAAGAGGCGATTTGCTGTCGTTTGTTCCGCCAATTTCAACCGCAGCATGATGGCCCATAAACTTCTTAAGGAACATAACTTTCAGGTTGAATCCTACGGTACTGGCAGGTGAGGCTTGTGTTCAGTGTTTGTTATTTAGCGTTTGTTCGAGCACCACCACAGACAAAATGCCAAGAACAATGTCCCTTGTTGTGTTTACATTATGTAGGGGTTTTGCCAGTCAAAGTGGTGATGGTCCTGGGCTGCAGAAGGTTGCCACAAGTGCAGTGCACGAGTTTCCCCTTCCCCTACGCGCCCTCCCTCTAGGCGTAAAACTAGTTTTTGTGAAATGGATGGCTCCACGTTTTGCGGTGAAATGATTGTATGGAATAATGCAGCGGCAGAGAGATCGGGATTATGCCCCCTTCTGCTGCGATCGCCGAAAACCTCACGGCGCTTCGCGCTTGGTGATGGTGCTAGCCTGGTACGGTCAACACCCGGCGTACTCAGTCCCGGCTTTGTAGGGATGCGAGGCCAAATGTCTAACAACTACGGCATGTACGGCTATGACTACCCCCCTCTGCTCGCTCCCTGCTCGCTCCCTTCCTCACCCCTTTTTTATTGCCCGCCCCTCTCCATGACGCTTAGGGAAGTGAGGCTACCAGGCAAGGACATCGCCAGCCCAGAAGTGTTTCCTTTCGGAACGCCCTACCGGGATATCTTCGACAAGCTGAAGGCCAAAGACGAAGCGCTTTTTAGCCAGAACAACCTGCTGCCCCTGGTGGCCCGTAACGCAATGGTGAAAGCCGCCCCGCAGCGGTTTCAAGAAATCGAGGGCCCGGACATGGCGGATTTCGACGTGGTGCTATGCTTCGAAACGAGGGTTTTTTACTTGGTCGTGGAAGGTACATGTTCTCCCGAAACTTAGAAAGTTTACAGTTGCGAACGTTATTTGGGGGTATGTACCAATGCCGTTGTGAAACAGATAGGCGAAAAGATAGTTGGTGTGAGGACAGAAGGGCTGATGCATGGGCTTCATTGCCGAGTTTCGTCACAGAGGGAGGTATTGGGGGGGGTGCACAGCAACAGCTGTAGCACCCTCTTCCGCTCTTTCTTCAAGCGTACCGGAGTCAGCACCACTAGAACGGCACCACTCGCGACGCGCACACACCAACGACAGGTAAAGTGCTTTTTACAATAGCGGCCTCGTTTGTTCGATGTAATATTCGTCGTGGGTGTATTACCCTTTCCTTCACTGCTGTTGACTCAGTTCCTCGACTGCTGCTGCCATCAACGTTCAGGGTTTAACCAGGTGAGATGAGTAAAACATATTGATTGCATTATTGCTATACTGGGTTTCTTGTCCGCGTTTCTGCGTATTTGCTCCCACCATGACCAAAGTGCCGGGAGATTCATAAGTTGCTCTCTGTTTTGAACATCCTGGTGTGTTAGTCCGCGTTTATGGCTTGGCTTAGTGTTCCGTTTTTCTCGGTCGCGGAGGCCGCGTCGTCCTCGAAATGTTGCTTTACATGCAAATATTGCTGTGTCTCGCACCGGCAGAATGGGGCGTCAAAACGTTGGGATGTCTCGTGCTTGTTCGGCAGGATCCGTTTGCGACGACGTGAGATTGTTAAGGGCACCAACTAGAGGAACTACACGTCACACGTATCTAGCTGAAAGCGCTATTATTTGTCGTTGTTAGTCGGGGGAATATAGTTCCAAGTGATGCCCAAAGGTACAAAGTGCTACCGGCAGAAGGGAACGAGAGCTTACTTACGCAGGATACGGGCCTATACTGTAGCGTGCGTACCCTTTCGCGGAGTGGACCCATTTCTCCTGCTCCGGGAAGGCATTACGCACTCATGCCATACAGCAGTTAGCGCCCCCACTTTAGAACCTCTTACTTTGGCTGAGGCGTGCTCCTTATATTCTCTTCGGTGGGGTTCCCCAAGTACAGGTTTTCGTGTAGTTTCCTTGACTTGAGAATCTTTAATATTTGCCAAGTTGTTAATGTTAAAATTTTTTGAGCCTACGTTTCTCAACTCCTGGAATCTTCAGTGTGGGCGCCAACTGCTGAGTGCGCACAACCACACTTGAACGATTAGTCTGGAGAAGCGCGTCACCTACACTGCTGTGGTTCCAGCATTTCGGCGAACAGCGGGGTGAACCGCAGTTAATTGCCGTGCTTTTCTTACGCAATGCCAACAGCTGTCCACTGGGGTGGGTATGATATGCAAAGCTCGGTTTTACGCAGTGCTCTATGTTCCTCTACAAACAACAGCATGCGGAGAAAAAACGTTATTCCGAGGGTGACACATGCACGCCCCGCACATTCAGCTGAACGCCTCTCGGTTGTTGCTGGGAACCCCGGCAAAAGGGCAAAGGTACACTTGTAGATTCGATCACTTGTGCATTGCAGGCTGGATATTTGCGACGGGTTGGTCAATCTCTCGTGACAAACAAGCTCAAGATATCTGCGTAGTCTACAGACGTCGCGAACGTCAGCTCAGTGGCTCCGCGTGCAAGGAAAGAACACATGGCCCGCACTCCAAATTGTTTTGAGCGGCTCAGTCAGCCTTTCACGGCTACACGGAGTGCTTGTTACTCAAGAAGCTTTCAACTCACTGTCGGCGGCTCGACCTGAGCCTTCACGGTGGTCTTTAACTCAGCAGAGTATTATCTCAAAAACATGATGCCGTCCCGGTTCGCAAGAAGCATGGAATGTAGCGGACCTTGTAGGTCCATTTCATCGGCACTGCAATAATACCAACAACCGATCGCACGCCTTGTGAATGTCACGGGTGGCAATACACAGCCTTGGGCATTCGAGGTTTCGTGATCGCTGGCTACACCCACGAACGAGCAAGAGCAAACTAACCCTCGTTGTTCTTTCGATTGATCCACACTGGGCCCACGAAGAGGCTGAACGACAACGAACGACCAAGTATTCTTCTTGCAAGATCTGCACGAAATCTTCGTCCGGATGGGACAAGTATCGCGCGGATGGAAATCCCCGCTTCAGGTTTAACCCACGGCGTGTTTCACTGTGGAATGCTTCGACCCCCCCCCTCCCTCTAACCTTCACGTGACAAACTTCCAATCACGAGATCCGGAGGCGTGATCAATATAACCACCACCATCAACGACTCGCTTGAAGAATCAGCTGCGAAGTCAATCAAATGATCTAACAGCGAAAGCATGCACAACTTGATCACATTTCGCCCCCCCCCCCCCCCCCTCCCTTAACCCCCTTTCCCACCCATTCTTTTTCTTTAATAAACTTAAAAAAAAAAAATCCCAAAAACTTTTCCTTTTTTAAAAAACTTAAAAAACCTAAAAATTTTATTTTTTTTAAAAAAAAAATTCCCCTTTTTTAATAAACCACTTTAAAAACAAAAAAATTTAAAATTTTATAAACCCAATTCACCCACCAACCCCTTCTTCCCAAACCCTTTCCCCCCCTTAAACTTTTTCCCAAAAAAATTTTAAATCCCCAAACCAAAAAATTTTAAACCTTTTTACCTTATTAATATAAACATTAAAAAATTTTTTTAAAAAAAACCCCCCTCCCCCAAAAATTTTTTTAAAAATTTCCCCAAAAAAAAAAATTTTTAAAAACATAA